TTGTAGTATCTCTTAAATGATAGCTATTGTTCTAAATTCCGCGGAATTTTCAGGATTTCCGCAGAGGATTCCATGGAATTTCATTGTATTACAGTTTAGATCGGCACATGAGTAGTGGTAAATCGCAGCCAAATTTAGCTGCAAAACACTTTAAGGGATAACATTCACAAGTAAAATTTCATTTGCATATTTTATTAATTTTTATTATACAGTAAGTATTGATATTGAATAATTTGGACAATTCCATTATAAACGGATTCGTTACATTTCTAATATTACTTTCTATAGATTCTTTATAACATATTTTTACTTCTATTAAACGCGAAATAATGAATTTTCAAAAAAGATTTTTCTCCATTTCATTAACTTTCATTACCAACTCACTCTAATCAAACCTTCATATAATCTTTGTGCCTCGTTGAACCAAATAATTTTGTTAATTCTGAAAGACCGCAGTAAGCACGTGACTGTTTTGAATTATCATTCGGTACAAAAAAATACGAAAAATAGTGGTGAAGGCTTAAACAAATTTATTATTAATTACCTCGCTTTGCTCCGGACAATAAAAAAATTTGAATACCAATTAAAATACTTGTGGCGATATATTTTCAGTAATTTCGAATATATTTTTAAATTTTTATTTTTATAATTTATATTGATTACAATTTTTATACTACTACTTAGGCAAACTTCAACAATGACCATTATGCAAGTTATGGTTTAATTTACATCATAAAATGTAATATTGTCATTATTGTTATTGAAACTTTATTTGGTTTCAATTATTTAAATTCTCGCACTGATCTCACATACTGCATACTCGCATCAATCTTTACTATAATTAGATGTGGTCATATGTAATATCATATATATTGTATGCATGGTGCAAAGCATGCAAAGCAAAATGATATGCTTACAACATATATGCATCACTCAGCATGACATGAAACATATCAACTAAGCATTATATAATCACTTTTTTTTTTTTATAAATTGTTAATATTAGTGTAGTGCGTTAATTATTACAAACGCCAATGTACGTAAAAATAAAAAATTTCATTTTCCCCTGATAATTTTTTTTTTTTTTTTAGGTAATACAACACCGAAAAGTCGAGTTGCACGATAATATTATACGTTTCTATGGTGTAACTAAAGAAGGTATGCTCTTACTATAATTTATTTAATGTATCAAATAATAATGTTTCAAAAAATTTTTTTTTATTTACGACGGATTTTTTAATGGACAAGAAAATATTTGAGAAAAAAAATAATACAACATCCAAATGTATTTATTACCTAGATTTTATCTTAAATATTAACCGAAACAATAATAAGCCGATATTAAACACAACCTTGAATTACGTGTTAAAGGAATTACGTGTTAAAGGCGCAGCAAAATTTAAGAGAGTACTCGATAAAAAATTAATTTTGCAAATTTCAATTATTCAAATTTTATTACGCTCGTTAACGATTAGATCGAGGACAGTATCAATATATGCTACTTCTGGAAGATACTGATGAAGGAACACTTCGTGATTACTTGAAGAAATCGTTTTTACAACTTAAGTGGGACGTTAAATTAAAATTTGCAAAACAGCTTGTGAGCGCGGTAAATTGTTTACACGAAAATGATATCGTTCATCAAAATTTAGTAAGTCGATATTTTTTTTTTTATATTATTGATTAATTTTCATATTCATTGAACATTACTAACGTAATTATGATTCGAATCCAGAATCCTGAAGATATTCTTATTAAAGGTGGAAATATCAAATTGGGCGGTTTCGGTCTTACCAAAAAAATAAAAAAGTTAACGAATGCTGTTTCAAGAATTTATGGTGTTTATATTCAATATGCTGACCCAGAATATTTGAAAAATCATCAAGAATTTATTAGAAATAAAAAATCGGATGTATATAGTGTTGGTGTCTTACTTTGGCAAATTTCAAGTGGAAGAGTTCCATTTGAATTTGAATTACCTGATTTTAGTTTAGTTCAATTAATAATTGAAGGGAAAAGAGAAATTTCTATTAAAGGAACTCCAAGTAAATATATCGATATTTATACAGGTAAGCAAATAAACTATCGTTAACTATTTTTTTTCTTTATTTTATTTTAACATTTTATATATATATTTAGCTTGTTGGGAGGGAAATCTGAAGGATAGACCAAGTATTAAACAAGTTTTAAGAAACATTGACGAGGTAGAAATAACTAAAGACGTAACAAAGGGATTAAATTATTTTTTTAAAAATGATATCTCATCCTCCAGGACAACAACCGGTAACGACAATCATGTTGATCATGATTGTTATATTTTAAATAGGAAAAAATCAATTTCTTCAATATTATCAAGTTCTTCATCAACAATATTAGATTTATTAACCATGTATAAGACGAAATATAAGAATGATGATAATAAATCCTGTATTATTATTGGTTCGAGTAATTCTTCAGCCGTCGATTCTGGTTCAACATTAGTAGAAAATTCCAACGAAAAAAATTCTTTAGATGAATTATTATCTAAACCTGGAACAACTTTAGAAATTAAATATACTTTAGAAAATATGAACAAAGATATTAATGAATTAATTTTACAAAAATTATTATTGGAATTTATTTATCAATTTTATATATCAAATAATAAGGTCATTAATTCAGAATGGTTAAATGAATTTATTAAAAATCATCGTGGTATTAACGAACATTTATCATCAAAATATTTATTAGAAATGATGTTAAATCATAAAAATCAAAATTATTTTACAAATTTACTTGGTTACTTTTATGAAAATGGTATTGGATGTGATAAAATGGATTTTATGAAAGCTTTTGAATATTATTTAAAAGGTTCAGTGGATGATGATTATTATTTTGATATAAAACAAAAATCATTTAATTCAAATTTTTATAATATTAATAAATATGATAAAAATTCTTTTATTAGTTTGAAAATTATTCTTATATCTATTGGACAATATTTTTTAGGATTATTTTATTATAAGGGAATAAATGATAGTATAGAACAAGATTTTGAAAAAGCATTCGAATGGATTTCGAAATCTTCAGAAAATGGAAATCTTGTAGCTCAATGTATGCTTGGATACTTTTATGAACATGGAATTGGAACACCTGAAAATGAAACAAAAGCATTTGAATGTTATATAAAATCGGCTGAAGGTGGGAATGCATGTGGACAATGTAATATTGGATTATGTTATGATAACGGATCATTAGGAATTGTTCAAAATAAATATGAAGCGTTTAATTGGTACTTAAAAGCAGCTGAAGGTGGCGATTCTTCTGGTCAATATAATCTTGGTTTATGTTATGAAGAAGGAGTTGGTACGATTAAGGATGAAAGTAAGGCTTTTGAATGGTATTTAAAATCTGCTGAAAACGGAAATGTATCTGGTCAATGTAAAGTTGGAGTATGTTACGAAGAAGGAATTGGTGTTGAGAAAAATGAATATAAAGCGTTTAAATGGTATTTAAAATCTGCAGAAGGGTATGATATTTTGGGACAATATAATCTTGGATTATGTTATATGAAAGGAATAGGTATCAATAAAGACGAAGAGGAAGCATTTAATTTATTTTTAGAATTTGCTAAATCAGGAAATAATCTTGTCCAATCTTGTTTAGGATATTGTTATGAGAATGGAATTGGAACATATAAAGATGAAAGTGAAGCAACTAAATGGTATTTAAAATCTACGGAAGGTGGAGATATTTTAACCAATCATAATCTTAAATTATGTTTTAAAAATATGAAGGATAAAGATCAAGCGTTTAAATGGTATTTAAAGTTTGCAAACCATGGAAATTCACTTGCTCAATATTATTTAGGAGATTGTTTTGAAAATGGTTTAGGCACGATAAAAAATAATGAGCAAGCACTTGAATGGTATTTAAAATCTGCTGAAGGAGGTAACGAAGATGGTCAATATAAAGTTGGTTATTATTACCAAAATGGTATTGGTATAATTAAAGATGAACAAGAAGCGTTCAAATGGTATTTAGAATCCGCAAAAAATGGAAATTCTAAAGCACAATCTGCTGTTGGAATTTGTTTTATGTATGGTATTGGTATAAAAAAGAATATTTTTGAAGCAATTATGTGGTTTCAAAAAGCAAAATAAAAAAAAAATATTAAGGATTAAATTAAGTTTAAAATTAATAGTAAGACATGATATTTGATTTTAATTAAGATTTTAGTTTAAAATTAAGATGATAAAAATAATTAAGATAATATTAAAACAAAAATAACAAATGTAATAACAAATGTAATATATTTAAGTTACAATATTTGACAATAAATTCATAATTAGTAAATCTTTAATATACAAAATTTATAAATGCCTTGAATCTATTAATAATAATTAAAATATACAGTAAACTGTTAATATCTTTTTACATTATTACTCATATATCGTTTCGAATTTGCCTTAGATTTTAGCAGGAAGTGTTATATACAGTACTTCTACGCTTGATGACATCATGTCAGATGTCCGTGTATTGTGTAAATTCCAATTATTTCGCTCATCTAACCTTCATTTCGTCAATATTTTATTTTATTGTAGGTTGATGAGAAAAACAAAATCTATTCATAAAGCACATGGCTTTGTATAACTCTTCAATCTTTCATAATGTTCATAATGTTCAAACTCAATGAGGTATTCATCAGAATTCATGGAACAAAACATAAAGATCTTGAGGAAACAAATTTAAAGAAATTACTTACATTATATGATATTATATACAGCGTGAATTTGCCAAACATAAAATAAACACAAAACTCCGAAAACCACATTGCAAATAGTTGGAATATTTGAATGTTATAATCTACTATTAATGTCCAGCAATTCAGATATTATATTATTATGCTCCGGGATTACCGTATGGAGATGCCTTCTTTTCATTAGATCTACCGAATACCAAGAGTCTGAACTAAATTCAGCAATCAGCCAAAAATTTTATCACATAGAACGTGAAAAATCTTTATCAAAAGCTGATTTTTTTATACTATTTACAACTTCAGTACAATCTGAATTGTAGATGGGAAAATTCTTAAGAACTGTACTTTTAATTTTTATTTTTATCTTGTTTATATTTTTTTTTTGTAGTACAAAATTTCAGTAGGACCCCTACTGACATAGATGAGAGGAGACAACGCGTCGCAACCTTAGTAGCCTTCATTTAGTCAGAATTTTAAAATGCGTATAATTTGCCAAAAATAAAATTTTCGATAGTTAGACTTTAACTTTGCGTAATTTTAGTTGGATTTTAAAGATAGTACGATATTGGATTTGCTTATTTTGAAGATATTACATATATCACGATAATCAATAAAAATAATTTTTTTCCTTTTAAAATTCTTTTTTTATTGCAAAATGTTTCGTTGGAAATATCGTAAAGAGCGATTAGCTAAGTATGAATATGTTACCCACATTGTTCATTCAAATAAAAAAAAGTAGCGTGTATATGTGGAAAATTAAATCGCAAATATAAAAATGATTATTTAAATAGACATGCGGCAAACCAGCTACAGATTCAATGGATTCAATGGATGAAGATTATTTTTTACAGATTGATGATGAAAGTGACGAATATAAGATTTTAAATTGATTTAAGGTTAGAGGATTACGAATTTACGGTGCGTATTTTATAAAAATTTCAGGAGTCAGGAGCTACAAATGCGTACTGATCATAGTAATAGTAAATTTTTTTTTGCTGGATCTCACCTATATTAGTAATGTTTAGGTCCTATTTCAGTGGCGGGACGCATGCCTTTGCCACTTGTTCCAATATTAACGTTCATAAACATATATGGTCCTTCGCTTCGCTCTCCAGACAATAAAAATTTTTTTTTTCAAATAATCAAAGGACTACGCTCTAAGACTAATATCAACGACATAGATGATAGATGTACGAAAATATACATTTATACAACGTCTGTATAAATTTTTTAAACTAGAACTACCTAAAATAAGATAAAACAAAACACTAAACCTAACTACCAAAATACATATACCCTGTAAAAAAATTTTCAAGAAAAATGATTACATGTCTGAATTGAAAAATGATCATTTATTGGAGTTTTTTCCAGAATTTTTTTTATAGGGATAGTGTTAAACTAAACTGTATGTCTGTATCGATAAAAACTTTTAAACAAGAAACACGACAAAAATCTAAAAACTAATAAAAAACTAAAACTTATAAATAATACAGCCCATCCTTCTAGAAAAATCTCGTAGTTGTGACAAAAACTCTTTTCCTAAGTGACAACCAAATATATCTCTTGATCTCTCAGGAACTGCATGGTACATATACCATCTTCTTACTTCATAACAAAATTTGTATAGTGTACTATTGTACTGAGTACTGACGCTTGATATTCTTGTTGAATTTTATACTATATCTGAAACCTTTTTTCGTTTTCCAGAATATTCAACTCTTTTTGTAAAACGTCTTTGGTCGATATTTCTCAACAAAATATATAATAAAAAGAGTGAAAAAAAGACTCAAGTTGGTATAGTTTTAACTCTTTCATAGAACTTTTTGTTTTTCCATGACCGTAAGGTTTGTTGTACAGACCCCAGGTTCCCATTGGATCCGACGTAGAATTAGCTCGGATTCCATGTAATGACGGCAGAGGTCCGGATGATTACAAATGATTACAAATCAAAAAATTCCAGATGTTGATCAATCGAATCCGGGGCGAAAATTAGTATAGCCGATCAACAATTTCGGACGCCTACTGAAAATTGGCTGCATTTTGCATAAATAGTATTACACAAGCAACTATATCTCTATAAAAAATTTTTTGGGGAAAACTCCGATAAATGATCATTTTTCTAGTTTTCATTCCAAAAAAACTCCGATATATGATCAATTTTCTAAAAAATTTTTTATAGGGATATATATATACTTGAATAAAGGCGTTTGGAAGAATTCTAATAATATTATTCAGTAATGGCTCAAAGTAACGATAAGGAAGATAAAGGTAGGTAAACTTATTCGGAAAATCTAATGATAATATTACAGCTTGTAAATCATAAACATATAACTAGAGTAACTTGGTAATTATTAGTGAGTTATAATCATTATACTGTCAGATTGACTCGAAAATTTTGGGTCGGGTCATCAAACGTTTTTATAATTAAATATAAAAAAAATTGATTTTTTTATTAAAAACGTCAGACTTGACGTTTTTGTAATTAAAAAATCAAAAAAATGACTTTTTTAGTTAAAAAACGTCAGGCTTGACGTTTTTGTAATTAAAAAATCAAAAAAATGACTTTTTTAGTTAAAAAACGTCAGACTTGACGTTTTTGTAATTAAAAAATCAAAAAAATGACTTTTTTAGTTAAAAAACGTCAG